ATAACTATTTCCCTTTTCTATCCGGAAGATTTGAAGAAGCTACCACCTTTTTTTGTAATTTATATTTTTCAGCATGTGTTTAAAAGCTACATATCATATTTAACTACCATTAACTGTTTTGAACATGAGTAACCAACTATAGGTGTTGTATCGTATTTCTAAGCTATCACTAATACTCATTTCCTATAGGATTCCTCACTGTACCTGTGAATCCTTGTACTAACTTAACTGTTTGCTTTAAGAGCTAAACAATAGTTGTATTTGTGATCTTAAGGCATTCTTTGTGAATTTTCTGCCAAGTTTCAGCGTAAAATGATTTTTACTTTTTCCAGAATGGTTTCAGTTTTCAAACCTTCAGCCAAGATTGATAATGTTTTACAAGACAATAAAATATTTGTTTGAATTTTTCAATAAGTGGCTTATCTTAAGAGTAAAAGATTTAATAAAATACATAACACCATGGGAAGGAAGTTATGAAGGCTTTTTCCTTTGTTTATTTCAAAATAAGCAATTCTTAAAGCCCATTTAATTTATTTTTGGAATTTTTTCTCATATTTAGAGTACCTATTACTCGTAATACGTATTACTCGTAAATAATGAAATCCCAGTTTTTGTCCAGGTAAATTTTGGTTTTAGAACTTTCTTAACTCTAATCTCTGAGTATAGTCAAAATTTAAAAAATAACTCTTATTCTATCTAATAAATTTGCGTTTAAAATTAAATAATATTTTCTTATAATAATAAGAGATAATGATTTTATGAATTTCATTCTGGTTGACTCCTTTCGGTTCACATTTATTTGCAAAGATGATTTGGAATTTTAGCAATAATATGAATGTGCTTTATTGATTTGTCAGTTTGGTATAAATATAAGCATAAACATGAGTGATATTTTGTACTGTAGAAATATATTGCATTGCTTGTATTCACGTACACTTTTTTTGTTGGATAAAGTATTTTAAATACCTATTATATTTATTTCATTGATACTCCTTACTGCACAAATTATACCGTTGTTGCCGACAGTTTTTATTTGAAACTAATTCATAGTTTCTGTTTCACAACTGATTTAGAGCGCAGAAGAGAGTACAGCGTTTACATCTACTGCAGAAAACCGTACTATAAATAAATAAATAAGGTCTTTATTCATGAGCGAATTTAATTTCAGTAACAATACTGTTTTACAAATTGACTCAGGTCAGGACTAAAACTAAACAAAGATTCTTAACACTACAAAACAAAATAAAAATTTAATTATAAATTCTTCAGGCTAGTTTTAAATTTTTTGTAAGACAGTGCTTTTAGTGTACAAGGAAGTGCATTGTACTGAGCCGGCCCGAAGTAAGAAAACCCCCTTCTACCAGCATCAAGAACAACCCTTGGTATGTCAAGCAACAAGTCCTGTCTAGTTCTGCGCTCTCTCACGGCCGACCTCGCTTTAAGTTTTTCCTTTAAATATTGCGGTGCCTCAGTGATAAGTGTCCTGTGCGATACAGACAACCTGCTTATCACAGCTCTCCTGGACGGAAATTGTATTCGACATCCTACGGTGACTATCCTACCAAACAAAACAATACTGACGATCCTATGTAGGTCTCCTAACAATAGTAGGGACGCTGCTGGTTCAATAATGAGATTCAGTTAGCTATTTGGTTTGAAACTGAACCCAGCTGTTCTTGATCAGGCTTCAAATAAATAGTTCTTGTTTAAGCCTAATCTGGCTATGACAGAGCTAGGGGTGTCATCATCACTATTGACTTTTAGGTACTGAAGTTGCAAGGATATAATATTTCAAAAACTAAGTAAATTTTATGTTACTTGTATGTTTTACCAAATTAATTGTTTTTGTTGAATTTGGTATAAAATACTTAAAATAGCCCCCATTTCAAAACAGTTTTAACAGACAGACGCTGAATGGACCGAGATAGGACATGTTTATTAACTTTTTGCTTATTTTGATCCAAGAAATTAGCACGTAAATCGGGTTCCCACCTTTTTGAACACCCTGTAACCTGTATGCATGGGGTTTCATAACAATTTCAAATAGTGTTTTCATCTCTGGGGACACCAAAATTAAAAAGTAAACCAGTCCCGGGGCTAGGTCTTTCCATGCCTACGGCAATAGCTCCTTCCCTATAAGGAAATTCTCAAAAATCATACGATTGTCTGGAAAACCTGCCAATGTGGATACGCCGCCGCCGCCGGGAATCTTAACCTTTTCCTCTCGTGTTTAAGCCCAACCACAAACCAAGGACCATTAATAGTCCACTGTCTGTGGTCGAACACGATAGCCATTGATTTGATTGAGCAACACACCCGTTATTCCGTATTCTGTCAAGTTTAAACGCGTAAACGGAGAGTTGCAATTGCAGAGGTCGGCCAATCGATGGACATGGGCCCTGGGTATGCGCACTGGGTAGGTGGATGCAATAGCTCACAGCTGTCTGTAAGTAACCTATCCGTCATATTGCCTTCAACGTGCCTTGTGTCTTGTGTCTCGTCATGAAGAGAAGTGAGGGATTGCCGAACAACCTGTGCGGCTGTGGAAGCGTGCTCAAGCCGATTTCGAGAAGGCTGTCGAATTCGAACGGCACTTTCAAAAGCGGTCTTGGTGAGTACGGTGTAAATAGGATAAACGCGTTTTGGACGTTTGTTTACATTTAACGATTATGATGATAACTAAACTAGGGTTCACTATATAACGGCTAATATATAGTACATAAGTTCTATATTCATAGTTGTACATACCGGTACACATTTGATTGTTAAAGAATTGTTGAGATAGGCTATCTAACATTTATTATTAGTTGCGAAAAATAATTAAAACAGAGCATTCGGCATTATTTACTGTGCTCGTTAATAAAAGATAATCTAAAGCGTTATCAGTCCTAACTATATATTTTAAACGGCGATTCTCTCAGACGAGAAGAAATCTTTCTATATCTTGGAGAAAAATATCTCAATGTTAAACCAAATGTTGACTTAAATTAACTTTTTTCTAATTATGTACTTTCTAGGTTATGTCTTAAAACACATGTTAGTTTCAAACTACAACACTTTCGGATCGCGAATTCGTTATTACTAAATTTTAAATTTTAATGGTAGTTAGTCAATCAATTTATAAATTAAACGATTAAATTACCACAAGATTACTTAAAGGGAAATTAGCGGATTCTAGTCAAAGTTGGCAACACTGATAGCAAACACGTGTCTGATAACGAGCACGCAAGTATGACGTCACCAGTCGATACCCTGTACACTGTACAGGTGGTAAGCTACAAGACTTTTAGGGAATTTATACGGCTTGTTTCTAAATATTAAAGATGGTATACAATTAAAAGAATTTTGTGTACATTTGTGTGAATTTTGTGTTGCAATGGCTGTACATATCAGAAAGAGGACATACGTATTATTCAACCCAGATCCTATTTCTTTTATACTATTGCTTTTGTAGGCCTAGTATTTCTTACTGTTATTTAAAGACATTTAAAATTAATTATGCAAGATTTATGTATATGCAAAATTACGTCGTATCAAAATGTATTGTATTAGTTAGCAGGGCCTTATACTAAATGTATCCAAGTGTCATAAACAATAGTAAATCGTCTTTTGGTAACCTAGTGTGAGATTGAATAAAGGCCTATTGACATGATAAACATTATTTATAGTAACTGATATTTCAGTAAATAAAGTGAAATGATGGGAGACAGACGGGCGCACGGGTTTCTGTTGTCTGTGGTAGTGGCATTTTCATTTGGCGGAGAGCATGAAATGTATCCAATCCAGAAGACAAAAATTGTACGCTAGATGATCTTTTTATAAAGAAGGTAGGAGGTGAATATTTACTACAACTATATATATATAACTAAATGTGGAAGTAGTTAAGTAACTTTGTCTGGAGGATGAAATGTATTCTCCTCATTTATGGTATTATGGCAATCTAGTAAACCTTGGTAGGTGGTCTTTAAGGTGACTTGAAAGAGGACATGGTTTCACTGGGATTATTAAGGAAGAAGTAATATATTTTCTCCTCCGGAGCATGAAATTTATCCAGGAAACAAAGATAAATCATCGTAGATAACTGTGAAGGGATGTACAGGAAGACAAGATGAATAAACGATTAAGGGAGTATAATCATGGATTAAACAAGGGAGTATGTTTTATCTATGGTATGATCATGGAAATAGTAGAGGTATTTTGTAGTATATATAAGGCACTTAAAAGATTAAACTACGCATATAAATTTGATTCCCTTGATAGCTAGATGGCGGATGCAAACTAAAATACACATATTAATACTATGTGCTCTAATGGAGATGCCTTGTGTAGCTCTTTTACCGAAATAGAGAGGCCTCATCCTTGTTGTTTAGAAAAGTTAATTTAACGTACCCATACTTAAACAAACAAAATATTTACTAGGTACAACAATAAAACAGCAATTCTTCAAATCAATTTCTTTAACATAAGTTATCTAGAAAACTATCAAATTTGGTACAATATAAATCAAAAATATAAATAAGAATATTGGTTATTCACCTAAAAGCATTTACCAGGTAAAATCGTTCGAAACTAAACCTTCCCTGTCGGCTGTGCAGCAAACCTCTTTGTAATATGAAATGCACCTGTACCTGATACGTATATAGAAATACTTCAGTAAAATCCAATCAATTAAATTCAATTCGATTATTCCCCGAGTTTGCTGCAGCAGGGTAGGGCCTATTTTATTACTTGTAAGCACTTTGTAAAGTTTTCTTTTTTCGCTGCAAGGAATCGTTCTGTTTCCTATTCCGTATATTCTTCAACTGCCAATCCCCATTCCCTCTTTGTTAGAAACAATATATCAGCAGACTGACTCTCCCTAGAGCGGCAAAAAACGGCTCCATTGATACTAAGGACAACGACGGCATCTATACCTGGAAGCTGGAACTACCTGGTCTTGTCTTCAGTCAGTAGTGTTTGTGCCGTGGTAGTGGTAACAGTGGGTAGTGTTGTGTTGTGAGAGTGGTGGTGGCAGCCCTGGAATGGTGTTCGGCCGCAAGACAAAAGTTGACACCCGCGAGCTGTTGGCCAGCCAAGACCAGATGGAAACATCCTTCAATGGCAAAACAGCTGATAACGGTAAAAAAAAAACATGTGTTTGAGATATAAACGCGCCAAAAATAGACTAGAGAACTGCAGAAGTTAAATTGGACCACTGTGTATTTTTTGCGGATTGTGTAGAGCAAAATGGAAATTAAGATTAAAACTTGAATTAATGAGTCCCATTAAATTATTTTTATAAAGACATGGTTTTATGACAGTTTAAAAATTGTCATCCTATGAAATTAAGTGTTGAAAAAGTTGGATTTTACTACACATTAGTCGAATAACAAGCAGAATTAAGATGGAAAAGAAGAAAACATACTCGTACCATGGTGTAACTTAAATTTTTTACACATAAAAGTATATTCTTTTCACCTCTCTTGCGTTAAAATTTAACATAGGCAAACCACACTAACCATTTACATGATAAAGAACATTACAAACACAAAACTTAAACCCGTTATGTAGACTCTGTAGAACACCCCTTTTGAATTTATGTGAAAGATAGTAGTAACTGTTCGTTCAATTTTCTTATTGGTATAAATGTATTTATAAATACTAAACGGTGTCCCTACCGCTTGACAACTATACAAATGCCGTACTACAACTAACAGTACTATACTAGCCGCACGCCAGTCTTACGTATTTTGTCGTCATTCACGTCTCTTCAAGGCAAACCAGTTTCTAACGTCCCACACTTTCAAATTTCTACTCACCGCTTCTGCAGAATGCGAATGCAGGTGCCTTCTTTGCAAGGTTCACGGCCCTATTATCTATCTTGTAATAAATTATAAATAAGGCGTATGTTTTTATTTCCACATTTTTTTTCACAGTCCACTTAAAATTTACCCAAAATCTTCACTTTCAGGTACAAATCAACCGATTATCATCATTAATATAGCTACCGTAGTTTATAATTTCAAACTGTTTTAAAAATGTAACACCCTTCAGTTATTGATTTATAGATTACCAAAATAAACTGAGTCAGTCAACAACACTCCATTACTAGATTAGGTACTAACTAGGCCTCATAACTAGAATGATGTGTTTCAAGTAGTGTGAACGACTTTTGTGATAAAACAATCAACATCATCATCTATTACAGTGGAGAACTGTTAATCACGCCCAGGCTTAAGCTTTTGTCATAATTTCGTTTAATAATATCTTTGTAATGCTGGTTTATAACTTGAAATAATAAAGATCGGTTTGATCTGACTTAAGATTCAATAGACCAAATCAGCTTAAAATTGTCAAAAAGAGAATCTAATTAATTTATTATCGCAGTACCTATATGTAGGTATAAGGCCCGTGACTACTAAATTTAGTAGCCATTGATAAGGCTCTGCCCGCTGGACTTTCAAAGTTTCAATTTAGACTTTTAGAGATTTGGAAAGTGAGTATTGTTTGTTGGATTTGTACACGTCATTCCAAAAAAAGTCCACAATGATTACTGTTTACTCTGAAATCCAAAGTTTTTAATTTTATTCTGCTAGATCGATTGAAATCATCTACACAGTGCACTTTAGTATCGGTATTTAATCGACATTATTTAAGTTAGATGGAACAAATATTGATTTACTTTATTTTTTTATATTTTCTTCTTTGTAACGACAGTAAAACATTACAAACTAACGGAATTCTTGGTCCACAATCACATTGTTGTGTTTTAGAGCCACATTAATATATATTTATTCAATTGTAACTGTATATTCAAAATAATGAAGACAACATGATAATGACTTAAGTGTAGAAACCTCTTTGTAAAAATGAGTTGAAAAAGGCGTTCTTTCCTCAAAGATTTCCTTAAAAGAAAATTAAAAGTACACAGAAACAAAGATGACTCACGATTTCGTTAATGGGATAACAAAGTAAAACATCGTTAATGACATACATGGTTTCCATTCAAAAGGTGTACAATCCAAGGTTAATTTGTAATCCACAACAAATAAGCTAAACACAATTTTTAGAATTTCTATGTGAATCTTTTGGCCTCTCAGTTTGTTAGGTTTTAAGATACCAAGGCAATTAAGTGGCGATTAACCATTTCACTATGTTTGTTCGTCGCATGTTTTACATGGCACGCTTATTTGTATTTCGCTCCACACGCCAATGTCATTGTCAATCACAGACGTGGTTGTACGCGTGTTGAATACGTCCGTGACGTCATCGATATCGACTTCAACTTCAACGCCAGCAACAGCTGATTGTATGATCACGTGGCGAGTACAATGTACATCTACATTGCTAAATTTACCAATCCAACCCCTCCCCTCCCCCAGTCACTAGGAGAATCGATGTTGACTTTGGATACTGCAAGACTGGATATTTATACTATACTAGCTGTGTACCCGTTCTACGCACGGGGATCTTATAGTATCAGTTGAAACCTTCTTATATAAAGAACAGTAGTTGGTTTGCATATTTTCAGATATGCTGGCCAAACTATTTATTATATACATAACTTCATTTTATGTCGTTTGTTGTTGTTCCGGATCGGTATGACAATCAATAAAGGGTTAAATTACCTGTGTCCGCCGGTCGATCCTAATGTATCCTATTACAGGAGATGCATTTCGGCGAAATTAAATCGCCATCATCAGTCCTAATATAAGGTCTTGAGCTTCCCCATTAGGTGCATCTTGGAGTTTTTGAAACACATACACGAACTGTACACTTATACACATAACGAATAAAACATAAATACACGGTAGGCCTACTTTTATTTTTACTATGGACAAGTAGACGCGCGTCGGTCGTGTGCCGAGTCTTGACTGAAAACGCTCATTTAAAAAATGTAAGTTTCCCAGCAATATACAACACTGATTCAAGGTCTATTTCCCGGTTATCAAAACTCAAGAACAATTTTATGCACAAAGAATCTCTATTTTCATTTACTGTTACCCTACAAATTATTGCACTTGCGATTAATTAAATTCGTTATGTATGGAAAAACGTTTTTAATCTTAATTGGTTTGGATTTGCTTTCAAAACGTGATCGGAAATGGTTGCGGTATTTGTAAACAACATTCAATGTAAACATATCAGTGACAGCTAGAAGAAATAATCTTGATTTGAACAGCTGTTCGTTATTTCATAGAAGAATATGTGCTAAACATTGGGAGAAAACTTTACAAAAATCGCACAAAATTGGGGTTTTAAACGTCCGTAATTTTATTTACAAAGTGGTGACGCCATATTTTAATGGCTAAAGACAATCTCGCCAATCCAGTGAATGCATTAAAATGATTTGGAACTTGATAGGTACTCTCGTTTTTCAGGAGTAGGCCGCGTAAAATGGCTCTTGGGTCGTAACAGACTGGAAGACAGACAGAAATTTAGATGAGACTTGTTTCGGGTTATCTAATGTATAACACGTAAAAATAACCTAAAAGTTTATGATTCTGAGCAATGTACAGACAAAACTCTAATTTTATTTATATAGATGAAGCTTTGAACTCCCTATAGGGAATAAGCTATTACCGTAGGTCTCGTGTTAAGACCTGGATCCGGGACCGATTTACTTCGTTTCGGTGGCTTTAGTGGCCAAAAACATCATCCGTTCAAATTAAAATATTTATATCTTCCACTACTAGAACAGAAACATTATGGATCATAAACATAAACAAATTATGTTACCGGTACATAACATTATAGTAACAATTAGTAAACATTATTTAACATTGCTGAAATGGAACTGTAAAAAACCATGTAAATGTTATTAGTATAGGATTCGGGCCGGTTACGTAATTTGTTTATGTTTATGATCAATACCACTTTCTGTTTTAATACGCATGATGTATATAACTGTACCCATCATTTCTGAACCGTTGATAGCGTATATTCCAATCAGGCTCCTAAGTTTCTTTTAATACTGTTGTAATAGACTAGGCAAAACAAAAAGCTTAATACAATGTTTTATGTGAAACCGTCATTTTCTGGTTTACTCACTCTAGAGCCCTTAAGGGTATACTGTACTGTATTCCAATCAGGCTCCTAATACTGTATGTAGTATGTTATAAAAGACACTTTTTGTCTGTGTAAAAATATAGGCATACGGGCACATCAAAATGAAGGTTAGAGTATGTAGATTTGCCGAAAAGTATTGATATGGATGAATTTCCTAAGGGCTCTGCCCCACAGGCTGATTTCCAAAGGGCTACGCCTGGCATGCTTCTAAAGTTTAGATGATTTAATTTAGTTTTGTTAATGAAACAGCTGATCAGTACAATGAACTGGTTTTTGTTTATTTACTCGAAAAAGATGTTTGTGGCGCTTTATGTAGATTGAGGAGGGTTATGTTTGGTTTTAACCCTAGATCTGGCGTTGGTCCATTTTTGGACCTCAATTTTTCAACTGTGAACTGGCATGGTCCCTAAAAGGACCAATGCAACATATGCGCGAAAATGACGAATTGTAGCCATAAAACAGGTTTAAAATGCTACAAAACGTATACCATTAAAAAGATGAGATTCTGAGGATTCATTTTCATACATAAAACATATTATGTAGCGAGAAACGGTAGTTTGAAAAACTAGAGAGTTCAAAATAGATTTTGGTGGTGGAAAGTTTTGGTCACCTGACTACAAAAACAGCTGTTTTTGGTGATTGTCAATTAAATTGTATACAATATTAGTACATATTCTGAAACTACAATAAATTCCCTACAATTCCCTGTGAATCTATAAGGTTGATTGTAAAAATTTTATTTGTTTTCAAAAATGTCATAAATATTATGTTTTTGTAAAAAAATCTTCAACATTTTACATTCCGACGTAAATTTTTCCGACATTTTAGAATTCAACTAAATATAACTATATATTTTCAGAAAGATCTTTTTATTACCTACTGTACAGTATCATTACATTTTTTGTTGATGCATTCTATTATTTCCTACGTGACAAAAAGAAATTTGGTAGTTTTTCAATAAAAGAAAATATCTATGAAGAATTTATTTTTTTATAATTTTATTTTTATGAGTATTTAAAAAACATTGATATTCCTACGTAGGGAATCATATTTCACACAAACTTTACATT